CACCTGTTAGTGCGCCCGTTTGTTTTCGCCTACGTGCGGAGTTCTCACCTCAGGGCATTTATTCGTGCTTGTGTTTTGTGCATCTACTAAAGTCTTTTGGACTAACGTTCTGTGTCCTGCGCCTGATTCCACCACCACACCCACCTACAGCTACACTGACATATACATTAGATTCACGTCTCGACCAAAAATAAAAGTAAAAGAATGGGATGAAGCCAGTTGCTCAGATGGAGATAATCTCATTTAAATGTTAATATTTTCATGTCAACAAAACACAATTCAATATTACTTTCGTAATACAGTAAATAGCCTAAAGTTAAGGCTACCTTACAAACTAATGTAACATTCAACCTTAAAATGATTAACACATCCATGGCACATTTTGAAGTTAAGTGTAACTATAAATGTCTTCTTAAGTAATCACCGACGTCTTGCTCCCGAACAAGCTAAACACCTTCTGTGGGCTCTCGTTCTCCGTGGCCGACTTAAGTAAGATTTTTAAGTGTGTTAACCCTCGCAAGGCTGCCGGACCAGACGGCTGGAGTGTTTACGGACAAACTCTCCCTATCCCAGTCTGCTGTCCCCACTTGCTTCAAGATGTCCACCATTGTTCCTGTACCCAAGAAAGCAAAGGTATCTGAACTAAATTACCGTCGGCCTGTAGCACTCACTTCCGTCATCATGAAGTGCTTTGAGAGGCTAGTTAAGGATCATATCACCTCCACCTTACCTGACACACTAGACCCACTTCAATTTGCATACCGCCCCAATAGATCCACAGACGATGCAATCGCCATCCCATTGCACACTGCCCTATCCCATCTGGACAAGAGGAATACCTATGTAAGAATGCTGTTCATTGACTATAGCTCAACCTTAAACATCATAGTACCCTCCAAGCTAATCATTAAGCTTGGGGCCCTGGGTCTGAACCCCGCTCTGTGCAACTGGGTCGTGGACTTCCTGACGGGCCGTCCCAGGTGGTGAAGATAGGAAACAAAACCTCCACTACGCTGATCCTCAACACAGGGCCCACACAAGGGTGGTTCTCCCCCCCCCCCCCCCCCCCTGTACTCCCTGTTCACCCATAACTGCGTGGCCACGCACGCCTTCAACTCAATCATCAAGTTTGCAGACGACACAATAGTAGTAGGCCTGAATACCAACAATGACGAGACAGCGTACAGGGAGGAGGTGAGGGCCCTGGCGGAGTGGTGCCAGGAAATTAACCTCTCCCTCAATGTCAAGGAGCTGATAGTGGACTTCAGGAGACAGCAGAGGGAGCATGCCTCTACGCACATCAATGGGACTGCAGTGGAGATAGCTTCAAGTTCCTCGGCGTACACATCCCTGATGATCTGAAATGGTCCACCCACACAGACAGTGTGATGAAGAAGGCGCAACAGCACCTCTTCAACCTCAGGAGGCTGAAGAAATTTGGCTTGGCCCCTAAGACCCTCACAAACTTTTACAGATGCACAACTGAGAGCACCCTGTCGGGCTGTATCACCGCTTGGTACGGCGACTGCACCGCCCGCAACCGCAGGGCTCTCCAGAGGGTGGTGCGGTCTGCCCATCGCATCACCGGGGGCACACTGCCTGCCCTCCAGGACACATACAGAACCCAATGTCACAGGAAGGCCAAAAAGATCATCAAGGACATCAACCACCCGAGCCACGGCCTGTTCACCCCGCTACCATCCAGAAGGTGAGGTCAGTACAGGTGCATCAAAGCTGGGACCGAGAGACTGAAAAACAGCTTCTATCTCAAGGCCATCAGACTGTTAAATAGCCATCACTAGCCGGCTACCACCCGGTTACTCAACCTTGCACCTTAGAGTCTGCTGCCCTATGTACATAGACATGGAATCACTGGTCACTTTTATAATGGAACACTAGTCACTTTAATAATGTTTACATACTGTTTTACTCATTTCATATGTATATACTGTATTCTACTGTATTTTAGTCAACGCCACTCCGACATTGCTCGTCCTAATATTTATATATTTCTTAATTCCATTACTTTACTTTTAGATTTGTGTGTATTGTTGTGAATTGTTAGATACTACTGCACTGTTGGAGCTAGGAACACAAGCATTTCGCTACATCCGCAATAACATCTGCTAAATATGTTTATGTGACCAATACAATTTGATTTGATTTAATCTCATTGATCAACGTCTCAACCAAATATTACCCAATTATCCATGTTGAAATTACGTGGTGTGCCCAGTGGGATGCTATTAGTCTTCTTAATTGTTTTCATTTTCTCCTCTCCTCTTTTTGCATGTATGGCCACTGAGCTCACAGGAGTGGATACAGAGAGGTAATGTGGTGGAAAAGCCACTGATCTTGACCCTCAGCATCAGAGCCAGGGTCAGTTCCAGTTCCTGTTAATGCAATTGAATATGGAATTTGTCCATGGGTGTAAAATTACAAATCTAATTGAGCCCTGTTGAACTCAATCCCAATCTAACCCGAATGAGCATACTGGTTGGTTGAGAAAGGGGATGAGAAAGGGGAACTAAGTGTTCCAAGAGGGCATTCTCTGTCTTCAATCATAAGGTATTGCATTGTATTATATTGTTCCAATCTATCTTGTTTTTTCTCTCTCTCTATTATAGCGACTCTCTTCTCGACCATAACAAGCAGATACGATACAGATACACCATGTGAATTGAAGAAGAGCAAACAACATGTCCGGACCATAAAACTTTTTGGGGATGACAAATGGGGTCTCACTGGGCACACTATGTCATTTCAACATGGATAATTGGGTCTATTTTGGTTGAGACGTTGATCAATGAGATTACAACCTAGATTCACCCACTCAAAAAGTTAGTTGAATTTCCAATGTGTTATCACTATGCTTTCAACCATCTAAATGCACAACCAAATTCAATGGAAAACAATGTCAGATATTCTGTTTATTTATACAACAAATGAAAATGTTATCACTGTGCTTCACCTAATAGAAGAACCAAATGACCTGGATTGCAATTGAGATTACATTAAAAGTGTATGGTTCAAGTTACCAATGTCGTTCGCGATTCTGCACAGATTATTACAGCAATTGTGAAGATCTCCACAGACCTGCGACGACCTTTGTATGCTATCGTGAACATGCACGCTTTATATGATTACATAAGAAGAAATGTATAGTTACAGTAACCACTGACTTAGTCTGTAAAAGAATAGGACTAAATCAAATTAAATCAAATTTTAAATGCACTTTAAATAAAGTTTGATATGATTTAGTCCTATTCTTTAACTTGGATTTTTGGTTGAGATGGAGATGTGAATCCAACATATCAATGATTAATTTGTAGACAAACTGGAATTAAAGCCAGGCTAATTAGTGGCACAGATGGAACTTCCCAAGCAGAAGATACATATCCTTCAAATGTTTATATTTGGTTGCGTTGACAACTAAACACAATTCAACATCACTAAATATTATTACATTTTAAATCAACCAGAGCTTGAAACCTTAGCCCTATTGTATTGTCTATTTTTAGTTGAATTCTGGGTTGAATTGAAATTATTGTTGATGACTTTACAAATGCTTTGATAGCAACAGTGAATCTATTTAGTTTTTTAAGTGGAGATTGCTCAACAATCATTCTCACAATAGTACATTGGTAATAGTCAGGGAAAAAAATCATAGCTAAGCAAGGTTGGGCTTGGTTGAACCTTTGGATGGGAGACCAAAGGGTAGCTGTAGAAAGATCCATTCTCCAGTAGGAGGTGCTGCCAAGCCTATAGTTTACTTTCTGATATAAATATAATGTTGAAAATCTGGTTTAAAGGTACAAATTCAACAGATTTTGTAAAAGGTTTGTCTATGTTGACGTTTCATTATCATAATGACATAATCCTGTGGTTTCAATTTCACCCTCAGAACAACAGTTTACGGTGATTACTTTTTTTCAAATCCAATGTACAGTATTTTCCATGTAGATTCCACATCACAATATGTTGACAAATTACGTTGAAACAATGTTGATTCAACCAGTTTGTGCACAGTCGGATGATATGAAACACTTAGTATCCAACTCCAGTTTAAGATTTAGCACAAGAGGTGTCTGCATCTCAAAACCCTTCTGTTTATTTGTGGAGGATCTAGGTTCACCAGAGTTACGTACGTGTCGCTCTCTACACATCTATTCCTGCCTCTCCATTTAAATTGCAAAGTGCTGTTTGAAATTCGGTGAGATCACATATGTGCACGGCTTCTGTCTCCGGTGCTCCACCAATAAACCACTCTCATATATCTAGCGCCGTCCCGGAACATTCCGTGTGATTTATTTCCATTATCCACAGCAATTTGCAAAACAAAGCCGCCTCGCTCAAGATGCAAACTAAGTGACTCGCTTAGAGGGAAGTGATTGGACTAGTGTGGGGGTGACAAGTGTTCCCTAACTATTGAAGAGAATTAAGAAAGCATGCATGTCTGTTCAATGGAAAAAATGCTAATTGAATTATTCTCATCTTGGGTTGGTGGAAAATAAAGTACTTTTCTGCATGTGCATCCTGACGAGCATACATAGCATGAGAGAGGCTGAGTGAAATACTGCTTGATTAGTTGTGCTTATCTTAGCCAGGCTTAGAGCACATTTTGCACCTACTCAGCAACGCTGCCTGAGATCAGGTCAGACCAGACCAGACCACCCCCCTGCATGTGGTATTATGATTAATCAAGACGCTAATTGCCACTGGCACTGGCAGTATGCTAAATGACTGTGTGTCGGGGGGGTGTCTGTGAACGTGTGTAACAGCAAGGCTGTTCTTGTGTAAAGCTGTTCTTTTTCCTATTATGTGACTTGAGTCTCATGTACTGTGTGCCTCTTCAAAGAACCCAGTTACCTGAGTAAGACAAGTACTCTACAACCCTGCCATCCCCAGTCAGCCCAGTGTGTGTGTGTGTGTGTCTGTGTGTGTGTGTGTGTGTGTGTATGCATGTGCGTGTGTGCATGTGCGTGTGTGTGTGTGTGTACCTTGTTGACTCCGTCAGCCATGGCCTGCAGAGTGAGCTCTCGGGGTCCGTCTACTGTCTTGCCGTCGTCGGTGGGTCCCCAACTGGCACTGTAGATATCAATGACCTGGGGCATGTGGCTGATGGACGATGCCTCGATGATGTCCGTCATGAAGGGCTGGTCTAGCATACGGATACCTGGGGAAGAGGAGAACGGTGAGCAGGTTGGGAGAGACAGGGAGTGTAAGGTACACATTGTCCACTGTATAGATCAGTCAAGCCATTGGTTTCACATTATTAAAATGCTAAGCCACTGTTGACCGAATACCCCCAGCTAGCACATTTGGTTCCTGTTTTTGGTTTCACATTGGCTGTGGGAACAAACCATACGTTTCCTGACTGGTAAATCAGAAAGTTTTTTTTACGTTCTGAGGATAGTTTGCAGGGAGGTTCTGAGAAAGTTTCATTATGGTTCCTTGTAAGTCTTCCTGGGACGTTTTATTAACACTCTGAGAATGGAAATTATAGGTTACCAACATTGAAATTAAATGTAACCATGTTTGACCTTTTAGGAAACCTTCTGTTAAAGTATTGAAATACCAAGAAAATAACTTTTTTTTATCAAGTTCCTTAAATGTGCTGAGAATGCGCCAAAGTCAAGCAACTATCCTGCACCATTTCCAGAAAGTTGTGGGAATGTTGTATGCAAAATAACCATAAGACAACCACGCTCTCATCAAGCTCTAAGTAACATATGGTTCTCAGAAAGTTATGTGCTAGCTGGCAATCTTGTGTATAATTATAATAACTAACATAGCTAACATAAATAGCATTCCTCTCTGTTTGAGCCAGGTGTTTGAGTAGGCTAAATTAGCTAGCTGCATTAGCTAGCTAAGTAAGTGAAAGTGAATAAAATACAACAAAATATCTTTCTCTCTCTCTCCTGAATTTTTTAAAGAAATTAATGTTCAACTATTGTCTTTCTCTCTCTTTGAATCAACTACTCACTACATTGCATGAACCATCAGATCCTCCTCTCCACCCTCTCCGAGCTGGGCATCTCCGGCACGGCTCACTCCTGGATTGTGTCCTACCTGACCGGTCGCTCCTACCAAGTGGCGTGGCGAGAAGCTGTCTCCGCACCACGTGCTCTCACCACTGGTGTCCCCAAGGGCTCAGTTCTAGGCCCTCTCCTATTCTCCCTATACACCAAGTCACTTGGCTCTGTCATATCCTTCTGAACCAGGTGGCGAATCGCATCTCTGCATGTCTGGCAGACATATCAGTATGGATGACGGATCACCACCTCAAGCTGAACCTTGGCAAGACGGAGCTGCTCTTCCTTCCGGGGAAGGACTGCCCGTTCCATGATCTCGCCATCACGGTTGACAACTCCGTTGTGTCCTCCTCCCAGAGTGCGAAGAGCCTTGGCGTGACCCTGGACAACACCCTGTCGTTCTCCGCTAACATCAAGGCGGTGACCCGATCCTGCAGGTTCATGCTCTACAACATTCGGAGAGTACGACCCTGCCTTACACAGGAAGCGGCACAGGTCCTAATCCAGGCACTTGTCATCTCCCGTCTGGATTACTGCAACTCGCTGTTGGCTGGGCTCCCTGCCTGTGCCATTAAACCCCTACAACTCATCCAGAATGCCGCAGCACGTCTGGTGTTCAACCTTCCCAAGTTCTCTCACGTCACCCCGCTCCTCCGCACACTCCACTGGCTTCCAGTTGAAGCTCGCATCTGTTACAAGACCATGGTGCTTGCCTATGGAGCTGTGAGGGGAACGGCACCTCTGTACCTTCAGGCTCTGATCAGTCCCTACACCCAAACGAGGGCATTGCGTTCATCCACCTCTGGCCTGCTGGCTCCGCTTCCTCTGCGGAAGCATAGTTCCCGCTCAGCCCAGGCAAAACTGTTCGCTGCTCTGGCACCCCAATGGTGGAACAAGCTCCCTCACGACGCCAGGACAGCGGAGTCACTCACCACCTTCCGGAGACATTTGAAACCCCACCTCTTTAAGGAATACCTGGGATTGTATAAAGTAATCCTTCTACCCCCCCCCCCCCCCCCCCCCCCCCTTAAAAAAAAAAAATAATAATAATAATTTGTAAAGTGGTTAACCCACTGGCTATAGGGTGAATGCACCAATTTGTAAGTCGCTCTGGATAAGAGCGTCTGCTAAATGACGTAAATGTAAATGTAAATATGTTTTGCAGCAGTCTCGGTTAGTATGACTGCCACTTTTACAAGTTTTCAAAAATTACTGTGATCACTAGTACTTTTACATCCAAGCCAGCTGTTATTTACCACAGTATTAGAGTAGTCTACATACCTGCCACTTTAGAGTTGTAGGCCACTCCCACTCCGCAGATGTTGTTGTTGGCTGCTGCAGACACCTCACCAGCACACCTTGTACCATGACTACACACAGAAACACACATGTAGATTGGGGAACGGGGATAAGGTTGGAAAACATATTGGGAATCGATGTATCAGGTCAATGTATCAGATCTTTTACCACCTATTGTAGACTTTGTGACTTCTATGTAAACCTGTTATGGCTATCTGGAATAGGATTACCGGTTGGAAGACGCGCATGGCATTTTGGGGCACAAATCAATAAGAATTAGCATGAGGAATCAGTCCATTGTGCCATCTGGATAACATTAGCTTGAACAATTCCTACCACATTCATCCATTTGAAAGAAGATTAAGAAATTGGTAGAATCTCCGATTTGCATTAAGATCTGATGGTTGGTTGAGGAGTTGGCATTTTAAAAGGTCATACGAAGACAGTCTTGCGTTGTGTGTGTGCACATGCCTATGTGTCTGTGTGTGTGTATGTGTGTGTGTGGGCGGGGGGCTTCTCACAGGGTAGCTGCAGTGAGCCCTCTCGGCTTTCACAGCATGCTTTGCCACAGAAAGTATGCTATTTATAAACAAACAGCTAATTAGCCACCGAGTCCTGCACTGCACTAATTCAGCAGCGGCGACGCTACACCACACACACACAGAGATATGTGTGGCGGAGAGAGGAGCAGTGAGGGTGGATGGTGTTCTCTATGTTTAATCGTCTAGTCCTTGAGGTGCCCTCGGCAGCAGTGGGTCATGCAGTGTGAGTTAGCGATGGGAGAGAGATACGGCGCTATCGGACATAAGGTTGCCCCTGTGAGCACTGCAGACAGGAGAGAGTGAACCAATGCCAATCTAGCCACCGTATCTCTGTGTATCTCTCATACCTGTAGAAGATCTCACAGAGTGCATTGTCTAGGCAGATTTACATCACTGGAAGGAAAGGCCCAGGAAATGTAACGCAAGGTTGCCTACTCATCCAAATAAAGAGTAAATATAAACTGTGTGTAAATACTCTACAGATGACAAGCTATCAAACTAAGTTAATCCATCATTTATCAGCCAATCTTCACTTCAACTCGTACAGATATGCAGGAATAAATTGCAACACACAATATATTGTAACCCACAGTACCTACCTCCCCTGATATATCTCCTTAATAACTAGTCTGGGCGGTACATGTTGTGGACTGCAGTAATGCAGTAGCTGTGAGTGTCCACAGATATGAATGACTAGAGCTACGTGGCGAGAAAATCAATACAGACAAGGGGACTTGCTATACCATGGCCTACAGCTGCGTGATGAATGCTTATGGGGCAGACGACTTTAGAGGTGCGAGGGGCTGGCCAGCTGGTTTTTACCTGTTAAACCAGTCGTCCGTGTAACGGGGGTACGGGTACGGGTCATTGCTGCTGAAGTCATAGCTGGCCTCAGCGTTCTGAAAAGACCGAAAACAAACAGTTTAATCAGGCAGGCCTTCTCAAATCTAGTCTTGTCTTGTCCAGACCCAACCTAGACTGTGCTGATGTGGCTGCTTTACTAACGACTCAACTGATGTTCTTGTTGCTGCCTCTGTATATTGGATGTTGTGTTTCACTGAGTTGTGACGTTTCAGATTCCTCTATCAATTTTCCTCTCAGTTATGCAATATATGTGAGTAAAATACTTTTCTGGACAATGCTGAGTCCATGTGTTCTTAACCTGGCAGAATAATTAAAGGTTGATTGCTTCCAGGATTTTCTTGTAGAATGTCCTCATGCAAATCATGCTATAATGAAGACCTTTCAGTCTGATGGTTGCATGTCACGTGGAACAGATTAATATGAAGAAAATGTCCAACGCGCACTCGCACAAACACACACACACACACACACACTGTACTAATATGATGGCAATGCATGGTCACAGCAGGGAACAGCGGCTGAGACACTGACACACCAATTACTCCCGCCATTTAATTCCATGTGGCCAAAAGTAATAGGAGTGGAATTACAAGCGGAAAAGCAGGAGAAAACAGATGCATTAGACGCACACATCTGTCGGAGAGTCATCAATCCAGGCTGCATAATCAGCAAATGGCCTGCTCTGCAGCCACACATACTCACGTAGGCACGCACACACAAACAAATCTACAAATCCACCAACCATTACAGGAATCTCTATCCATTCTTTATTCTCTCTCTCTCTCTCTCTCTCGTTCTCTCTTTACACCCCTCCCTCTTTTCTATACCACTTGCTTCCCTTTGAGATTGCCATTTCAGAAACCATCTTGAAAGGATGTTTCTCTCAAACTTTCTTATTGTCTGAAAGCCTCATTTTCCTCTTCCCTTCTCTTTTCCCAAAACGATCAACTAGCCACCTTCAACAAGTCTCTTCCCACTGGGCAAAAACGGGTTGAATCAATGTTGTTTTCATGTCATTTCAACAACAATAAATGTAAGCTGATCAAAATCAAAAAGAAGAATGTGTCACATGCGCCGAATACAACGTGTGTAGACTTTACCATGCTTGCTTATGAGCCCTTCTCAACTAATAGTAAAATAGTAACACAGGGAGTACCAGTACCAGATCAATGTGCAGGGATACGAGGTATTTGAGGAGAAACTTTTTTTATTGACCAAATACTTATTTTCCACCATAATTTGCTAATAAATTCATTAAAAATCCTACAATGTGATTTTCAGGATATTTTTTTCTCAATTTGTCTGTCATAGTTGACGTGTACCTATGATGAAAATTACAGGCCTCTCTCATCTTTTTAAGTGGGAGAACTTGCACAATTGGTGGCTGACTAAATACTTTTTTTCCCCACTGTATATACATAAAGGCAGGGTAAAGTGACTAGACATCAGGGTAGATCATAATAAGAGTAAGACTAAAGTACAGAGTAGCAGCAGCATATGAGTGTAAAATTGTGTGGAGATGTGTGTGTGTGTGTGTGTGTGTATGTAGTATATGTCAATGTGTGTGGGTTTTGTGTGAGTGTCAGTGTAGTGTGTGTAAGAGTACAGTATATACTGTATAGTCTTGTGAGTGTGCATAGAGTCAGTGCAATATATTGTCAATGCAGATAGTCTGTGTAACCATTTGATTAACAATTTAGCAGTCTTATGGCTTGGGGGTAGAAGCTGTCTCGGAGCCTGTTAGTCCGAGATCCGATGCTTTGCCGGACGGTAGCAGATTTAACTGTCTAGGCTTGGGTGGCTTAAGTCTTTGGCAATTCATCAGGCCTTCCTCTGACACCCCCTGACATAGAGGTCCTTGATGGCAGGGAGCTCGGCCCCACTGATTTTACATTTACATTTTAGTCATTTAGCAGACGCTCTTATCCAGAGCGACTTACAGGAGCAATTAGGGTTAAGTGCCTTGCTCAAGGGCACATTTACGTAATTTGGCAGACGCTCTTATCCAGAGCGACTCACAAATTGGTGCGTTCACCCTATAGCCAATGGGATAACCACTTTACAATTTTGGGGGGGGGGGGGTACTGATGTACTGGGTAGCGCTTTGCGGTCGAAGGCAGTGCATTTGCCATATCAATCAGTGATGCAGCCAGTCAAGATGCTCTCGATGGTGCAGCTGTAGAACTTTTGGAGGATCTGAGGGCTCATGCCAAATCTTTTCAGCCTTCTGAGGGGGAAGAGGCGCTGCCGTGCCCTCTTCACGACTGTGCGGGTGTGTGTGGACCATGTTAAGTCCTTAGTGATGTGGACGCCAAGGAACTTGAAGCTCTCGACCCAGTCCACTACAGCCCTGTCGATGTGGATGGAGGCGTGCTCTCCCCTCTTTCTCCTATAGTCCACAATCAGCTCCTTGGTCTTACTGACGTTGAGGGAGAGGTTGTTGTTCTGGCACCACACTGCCAAGTCTCTGACCTCCACCCTGTAGGCAAGGGGTTCCCAAACCTTATTCGTCCACGACCCCATTTTGATATCTGAAAATTCTAGCGACCCCAACCATGTGAAAACCATTATGTAATTAACAGCCAATGTTAACTTTTTTTATTTGGGGCTATGGCAGTCAATTGCAAAACAGTATTTCTGATTGTCTTCTCAACTCACGATCACATACTTTTAATGTGGGGCTATGACAGATGTGCGTGCTACAGGGCTATAGTAATTTAGGCAGGTTACCTTGGAGTTCTTGGGAACATGGACAATGGTGGTCAGCTTGAAACATGTTGGGATTACAGAATGGGACAAGGAGAGATTGATCATGTTGAATCAACATGGAAAACTGAGTCATCAACATAAAGGAATTATAGATTTTATTTAACCCTAAACCATACAATGAATTTGGGGGGAGGATTTTCTGATTTTTGCCGGGGGAAAAAAAGTTTCCAAAAAAAGTTGGGGAAAAGTCGGGGCCCGGGGGGGGGGGGGGGAGTGGGGGGGAAAAACAAACTGGATTCGGCCTATATTTTTAATTTTTTCTGGTTTTCCTTTCTTTTTTCTTTTTTCTTCTTCTTTTTTATTTTCTTTTTTTGTGGGAGTGTTTGGTTGGGGGAATTTTTTAGTGATGCTAAGGGGAGGTTTTTAGATTAGTTTTAAATTTGGGTTTTTTTTTTGGTGAATTTTTTTTTTAGATGATTGGGGTATTATTTTTTTTTTTTTGTTTAGAATTTAAGTTTTTGTTTTTGTGTCGAAATTACCCTGATTTTGGTTGGGGGGATGGGGGCCCCGAAGGGCGCCGTCCCTTCACTTGGCCCGGTTTGGTTTGTTACTGAAGCATGTCACGGTGGTTTGGAAGGGGTTTTTGGTGCCGTAGGAGGAAGGTAGGATATGAGAATGTTTTATGCGTCACAGATGAATAAAGCGGTGGGTGGTATTTCTTAAAGAAGAGCGCCTTGTTGATCGTATGGTTGAGCATGGCATACTTCTTAAAGGAATGTTTATTCAAGTTACGCCGCTTTTTTCTCCGTCAACAAGGGTAACGATTTCAAATGTACCGCCGTTCATTCCAAATGAGCTATTGGAGCGCGAGTTATTGCGCTTTGGGAAGTTTGCAAGTTCAATTAAGGTTGTCCCATTGGGGTTTGCAAACACCCGGCGTTGAAACAGGTAATGTCGTTTCGGCGACAGGTGTTTA